CCCCACCCCATCCCAATCCGCATGATTGCCAACCCCAAAATCCCAGAGCTATTTCCCTCCCTTTTTTATTTCTCTCTCTCTCTCTCTTTCTGCTGAGGAATTTTGAACAAATTACCTCCATATGTGCTTCAAGGAGCCCCATGGGAAGAGGGCCAAAAAGAATATACTGCTGACTGAACACAAACATTGACTTCATCAAACATGGAGCTCTGATGCTCTCCATATGATCACCCGGCACGGCGGGTCGCTCGCGGGCGGCAGCGTGGCAACATTTTTGTCAGTCTGCCTCGTTATCGTCCCGTGGCACGTGTTTTTGAGGACAAGGCTGGAGTGAAATGGTGTTCAGCGCTTTGCTACTGTCGTTCAAATAACACAGAGGCGTGTCAGGAATGTTTTGGGCCTTGGAGTTTTTTTTTGGAAGATTGGATGAATGGAGTCCTCGTAAACTTGAGTCGCTGAGCCAATAGCGGTCAAGCGTCTGGGCACTACGGAAAGCCGTTTGAGCGTTTCATTAATACAATCGCGACTTGCCTTCTCTTAAGCTTTTTCGCCCTCACTCGGCACACAAGTCGAGCAACTGTGTGTCACAACTCACATTTTCTTTTTGCACTGCAAGTGTCCCTTTTGGCCTACAGGTATGACCTTGAGATGCAGATCAAGGATATTGTCAAGCAGCGAACTCACATCACCAAACTTGGAAAACAGGTGAGCCGCGATCAACTGTGATGTCATTTTCAGTCAACGGCAAGTAACAAAATGGCCGCACCCTTGAGACAGATCAAACCGGTGACCAGTTCAGGGTGTATATCATATGATAGACTGTATGATCAATGACGCATGAAGGGACTAAAGGCGACCAAGCGCGGGTCTGTTATTTGAAGGCAAATATTGCCTTCATTGGATGGATGAGCGGGACAGGTGATGGATGGATGGATGGAAGTCATTAGCGTTGCCCCACTGCGTCGCAGCTCATTCTTGGTACACCCGCTCATGTGGCAGATTTAGAGTCCAACTTACAAACATTTGCCGAACAAACATTTTGGACATGTGACTATTTTGGTGTTCAAGAAGAAGAACAACAAGCAGTGTGAATATGTGACTGAGTCTTGTTGGGTTTTTTTTTTGTGTTGAGGCGGTGAGGGTGTTGATAAAGGCGCCCTCCAAAGGGCTCCGTCTGTTTTCGCGCGCTAAGCAAAGACAGAGCTGAGGGAGAAACTTGACACACGGCAGAAAAATAGACAAAAAAGGTAGAAAAAGTCTTGCGAGCTTTGAGTGATTTACTTTCCAATCTAAAATCTCCCCCCCACAGCTCCTCCCCATCCCCACCGGACCCCCATGTTGCCTTTGGACGACCGCCAGACGCCTTTGGATTGTTGTTCGACTCCTTTCTCGTGTCACTCGACAGGCGCTCACTGTGACCTTTTCCGGCGATGAATATACGACGCCGAAAGATCAACTAAGGAGGGAGCCGAGCGGAAAAAATCACCCAATCAGGCGAGGCAATATTTCAGCTCATCATTAATGTGTCCCCTCCGTCACGGGTGACCTCCGGCATCTTGGCATGTGTGCGTCATTGTGTGTGTGTGTGTGTGTGTGTGTGTGTGTGTGTGTGTGCGCGTGCGTGTTGTTAGGCTCTACTCCTATCTCTGATAGCGAGCCTTTTTACTGGATATTCAGTTTTGTGGCTCGAAAACCAGGGACATCCGGTGTATAATTCCGACAGCATTGCACGTAACCCCCCCCCCGCAATAAACAAATAAATGAAATTAGTTCTGTCTTATGTTTCTGAGCGCTTATACAAGAAACGCGGTCGTAAATTTTTGCATGTGTTACAATTTCTTTCATAATCCATTTTACTGTGACATTCAACCCCCCATATGGCCCAAATTTGCTCTCATGTTATTGTTGAAAGGGAAACTGCACACCCCAAAACCCTATC